TTCTCCCATCTTATCGCCAAAATCTGATCCAAATGGTATGATCTCCCCCTCAGATGGTAGCCCAATTGAGTGGTGTACTGAAGTATATTAATTCTCCTGATTACTCTTGACGAGCTTCCCCTGATGTTCCATGCCCACTCTGCTGGATCGATTTCCAGGTCCCGAATGGATGTCAGTGACTCAAATGTACTCGTAAAATCTTCATTCTCAACCACTCGGACCTTTCTTAAGATGCTTCTCTTAATGGCGATTGGAACCCTCGAATCCTTATCCAGCATACTGACCGTGACTCCTGGAGATAGTATTGTGTACATATCTGCTTCCAACCACTGGTTAGAAGGTCCGACCTCCTGTCCTATATGAAAGGCTGCCTCTGGTTCATTAGTAGAGGTTATTGTTGCCCAATCCCCCCATCCCCATTTGCCTGGTTCCTTCAATATCCTTGTCCACTCATCCGGGATTGAGACGAGAATGCCATTCAAGTTTTCAGTTAGTCTGTCACAACCCTTCATTTCCTCCCTCAGCTCCCTACCTGTTTCCCATCTCCCCTTGCTGCCTGACCAGAGATGTTTTACCTGCCATACCCCATGCTCTAACCACTTCCCCCACTTGGCGTCCTTCGTTGTTAGTGTTCTAGGTCTTCCTTGAGAGTCTTTTAACAATGAATTACAAAATAACAGTTGTCTAAGCACTTCATCCATCATCTTCGGTTGTCTTACTCTTGTCGGGAAGACCTCCACCCAGATTTTGAGCAATTGAGACCAATATGTACCCCTAGTTGCGTCTTCCTCTGCTACTTGTTCCCCCGTTCTACCCTTCTTAGTCCAACCCTTGCAAAATAGCCAGAATGTACCCTTCATATTGGAAGGCGTTTTATATCTGGCCATCTGTCCTACGTGGTCGAGTACCAATGGGAACCACCGAAGGTGAGGCTGTGTCAACAACTTAGTGATCCACTTAGTTTGGAGTGACCTTATCTACTGTCCCGGATCCAAAACTCCCAGCCCTCCCTTGTCCTTTGGTTGAATAACTTGGTTCCATGCTACCTTTGATATAAAGTTGGATCTCATTGGATTTGCTGTCCACAAATACGCTGCCCGTGTGCATCATTATACAATACACGAATCCTTTTACGAAAGTTAGGACCCACTCCCATCTTCTCTATACATTGCCGTAGAAAGTTCCAGTTGAGTTGATCATATAATTTTTTGTGAAGAAGAGGATCGCTGCGTTTATCCTCTTATTCGTAATGTACCTTACCGATTCTGATAAAGTCATGACATTATCCAATATAAATCTTCCCGGAATGAAACCTGTTTGATCGAGGTGGAAACAACATTCTGTAACTTTCCTGAGGCGGTTAGCTAGTGCTTTAGCCACAATCTTGTGAGTAAGGGTCAACATTGTAATTGGTCTGTAATTTTTGATATCCCTAGCGTCTCCCTTCTTATATTGCAGAGTAACAATGCCTGTCGCCGACTCTAACCCCAAGCCCTCTTTCTGTCAAGCTTGATTGAGAAAGGATTCGCACTCTCCTCCTAGGATAGGCCAATACTCTACCCAAAATTCTTTAGTCAATCCATCCCTACCCAACGTCTTGTTAGGAGGCATAGACCGTAGGGCTTCTCTCAATTCCTCCTGGGACAGAGGGGCGTCCAATTTTTCCACATGCTCCTTCTTCACCGTACAATCCAAGTATGATAGAAACTTATTTTTGACTTCCTTCAGTTGATGAGAAGTACGGTCACCTTCCCTTGAAGTGTATAATGCATTATAGAAGTCATACGCCACCGGAAGCATCCCTTTCAGATCCGAAACCACTCCTTGCGAACCTTCCAACTGCTCTATTAGCTTGTTTCTTCCTCTTGCTTTAATCTTTTGAAAGAAGTACTTTGTCATTCTTTCCCCCTCCTCCCATTCCTTCACTCTCGCTCTCATCTGCAGACCCCAAGCCCTCCAATCTCTCCCAGTCACCCAATTCGTTTCTTGCTGCTTCTATTATTCTCTCATATATCTCCGATCCTGGGTTATTAATTAGATTCCTTTCTGCTATACACAATGCCCTTTGCAGTTCGATTTCCATTGTCGCCCGTCTTGCTGCCAGCTATCTGGCTACTGCTGCCGTTGCTGCTGAAAGGGCTTCTATAAGGTCCGTGAATGATTGTGTGTCCGGATTGTGTGTTAGGCACACTTGCACAATAGCTTCCCTCAACTCCTTGGTTCTTAATAACGAATTATTGACCTTATAGAAACTCCTTCCTCGGTGGACATGTTTGTCCATAATGAAGTTAAGAAATACGGGTTTATGATCTACGCACGAACAATATGGTAAGTCCCCCACTCCCACCGAGTGTAATTTTCCCACGGTGTCTTGAAATATGAGAAAGTAGTCTATCCTTGATGCTGAAATATGTTGAGTACGATTCCTTTTGTAATACGTGAACTGTTTCCCTTCTGACTACTGAAGTCTAAATGGGTCTACCAGATCTCTAGCCGCCATAAGGTTATGAATAGGTAGGGCTTCGTCCCACATCACTCCTTCCCCTAACCCTGACCTTTCGCCTAGTAGTCTGTCCCTACTTGAATCTAAAGTAGCATTCCGATCCCTAGCCAATATGAGATGTCTTGACTGGTCTATATGTGGTTTTGTAGTGTATCTATCATCTCCGACCGCTGATGCCCTCCTTTAGGACAATAGACTGTAATGAGCGTGAACTCCTCATTCTGATAGGTAAAATTGAGCTTTCTCCACCGACCTCCGTCTTCATCTAGAATGACATCCTATACTATTATTCTATCTGCAGCCAGCGATCTTTTATTCGGTAAAATTACTACGCCTGCTGAATGTAACCTGCCAGCTACCACCCAAAAACTTGCCTTAACCCACCTTAGTTGTCTTATTATACTCTATTGAATGTTCTGATGCTATGATGAATCCGTAAGGTAAGTTTCCTGTAAGCATAAGAATTGTGGAGGTGTCTTCCCAAACCAGTTCGAGTACCTCATTACATTGTCCCGCTTGTCTTTGTTTTCCAAAATCTGTACCATCCCATTGATGTTCCAAGACATGACCCTAAGGTCCGGCTCCCTACATTTTGAAGTATCCGCTGTCCTTCACGTTTGTATACTCCCACTCTCAATCCCGCCTCCATGAGCTATGATGTTTTTGTTACCCTTTTCGAACGTCCTACTCAGGATCCTACCCAGGTCCACTCTACTGTTGTAGCCAGGATCTCGATCTTTTCGTCGATGTAGTCCGGCTGCCATGCAAACACGTCACTTTTGGTCACTACGGCCGCTCCCCTTGCCACCCATTCTGCCGCCTCCGAAACCCCCAGCAGTCCATACGGGATCGTCTCCACCACTTGCCATGGCATCCAGATCAATCCCTCAGCCAGCACTGCCTTTTCCTGCAGCTTGATCATGACTGGCCTCTAGTCCACCATGTGCGCTGTACCCGCCGCGTCTTCCCATTCTTCCCTGTCATGCTTGACGTCCCCAATGACGTGTGCCTGCGAGGGCAGATCTTTTGTAATACGTTCCTTCAATATAGCATGCTCGCAGTGACTGTCCTTCGCTGTAATTAGTGTCAGAGACCTCTGGATGGCCACCTCCCAATCAGCGTTGCCGCTGTTCCATCTGTAGGGCAGATTACCTGGGTCTGTCTTGGGTACAATTTGGTCGCTGCATTGATGTCTGCATGTGGAGTGTAGGCTATTTTCTGCAGATTTCTCCCTCCATTTCCCCGTTCTGAACCCCTGAGAACCTCAACTTGTGCTTCCAAGATCGCTGCCTGCCTCTTTTCCTCTTCCATCTGTTCATCCACACCTAACCTCTGAGCGGAATCTGACAAATTCTGGTCACTGCTTCCCAAATGCTCCGCTTCTTACTGTTGGGCCCTTCGTCTCTGTTCAGATCTCTTCAGACCCTGTGGCTGGTAGGACTTCGGCCAAATGAACTGCTTGGCGTAGCCCGCATTGTGCACCGTGATGTCATTCTTGTCCAGCCTAGCCTTCCATCCATATTGCGTAGCGTAGAACTCATTAACCTCCTGCTCATTCTTCAGTCTTTCAAATCTGTTTGCTGTTGTGATGTCATCCCCCGCTGCTGTGGCTTGTTTCAAATTGCGCAAATGCTTGTGGTGTGCCAGACGAATCTCACATTCAATGTCTCTCCCACTTCAGCTTGTGAACGTGCTTAATCCAGTATGCGAGTGTCTCCGGTTCCTCCTCCCCTTCTTCCTCCTCCCATTCCTCCTCCCCCATGTCGCTGTCCCCATCCAAATCTGTATCTGAATCCTGTGGCATTGTTCTTGCAGCTCCCCTTTTACTGTGCCTCTTACGCACAAGGCTGCCCACGCTGATTGTGGTTGAAAGGGAGCTGCCCACATCCCCGTGTGCCTTCACGGCCCACTTGCACGTTATTTCAGGAGGGAAGGTATGCTCCTGTGCATTTCTCTTCAGAGCTTCATACTCCTGTTCATTTCACTTTAGATCTTCAGCTTATACAGTCTTTGTGTCCGTCCTTCATCTTCATACTTCCGTTCATTTCATTTCTGATCTTCATATCGTCTGTTCTCTTAATGTTGCTCATTTATTTGTTAGTAGCACAAAGGGAGTGGAGGGGAGGGTGGAGGGTAAGGGATAGAAGGCGGAGTTCTAAAGGAGTATGGGGCAGGGGAGGTAGGGGCATCGGGAAGGAAAGAAATATGTGGAGGGCAGGATAGAGTATGACATGCAAAGAGCAGGGGAGAGGTGTATGACGAGCTTCACAGATTTCTAAATATCCACCGCTGAAACAGACTGTGTGTGTGTGTGTGTGTGTGTGTGTGTGTGTGTGTGTGTGTGTGTGTGTGTGTGTGTGTGAGCTGTCTCTTATACACATCTAGATGTGTATAAGAGACAGGTGTGTGTGTGTGTGTGTGTGTGTGTGTGTGTGTGAGAGAGAGAGAGAGAGAGAGAGAGAGAGAGAGAGAGAGAGAGGGCTGCAAAATGGATAACCTGCTGAGTGACGTAATATTCAATATCCACTTGCCACTCGTCGCCTGTCATCTCCTCAGGATGTCTTGCGCGATCAGCAATTCCACTCGTTCCTCCCAGAGTGTTTTTTCTCTCACCCTGACAATTTCAGATTTGCCATGAGATGCACGTTATTGACTGGACCTCAAAGGCAGGAGCATGCATCACAGATCCTTCACTTTGATTGAAGGACACTGAACCAGCAGTATTCTGCCCACCCTGCAGCGCTGCACCGGTTAAGGTCAGGCTCTTGGACCAAAAGGACTGGCAACCTGGTTGGCCCTTGTCAAGCTGGATCGCTGGACCAGAAAGGCTGCTGTCTTCCCCTGAATACACCGAACAGTCATTATAGCTGTATTTGAGACAACGTCCAGTGTAAATAATGACCGTGTGTGGTATTCGGGTGATAATGCCTGGTAGGCCCTTGCTCCGTGACAGTTCGGTATTCCAGGGGCACAAAAAAGATTTCAGCATCAGCAAAACGAGCCTCAAGGACGCTCCTGTTTTTCTTTTCTTTTGCCTCAAGGACACTCCTGTAATGAAAATGATTCCAAACTGTCAAAGCTCGAATGAATAACAACTCAGCAGAGAGCAAGAATTTCACCCAACAAGACCAAAAGAAGATGGCAAGAAGGAGAAAAACTGAAGAATGTAAGCAATAAATACAAAGTTGGCCTCTTGCCCCACTTCTACCACCAGGTCCTCCATTACTCGAGCACCACCTCTCGATATCATGAGCCTTTCGATTAGTACTGGTCACTCGACACCGTCACAGACCAACTTGTGGATGCACAATGTCACTCTACACTCCTGTTTTTCTTTTCTTTTGCCTCAAGGACACTCCTGTAATGAAAATGATTCCAAACTGTCAAAGCTCNTGTGGATGCACAATGTCACTCTACACTCCTGTTTTTCTTTTCTTTTGCCTCAAGGACACTCCTGTAATGAAAATGATTCCAAACTGTCAAAGCTCAAATGAATAACAACTCAGCAGAGAGCAAGAATTCCACCCAACAAGACCAAAAGAAGATGGCAAGGAGGAGAAAAACTAAAGAATGTGAGCAACAAATACAAAGTTGGCCTCTTGCCCCCCTTCTACCGCCAGGTCCTCCATTACTCAAGCACCACCTCTCGATATCACGAGCCTTTCGATTAGTACTGGTCACTCGACACCGTCACAGACCAACTTGTGGACACAATGTCACTCTCCACGTTGATTCCAATCTAGCACTGGTCTGTCAAGACCAGGGCATCAACAACAGATATGGCAGTGCCAGTCTTGAGAAGCTCTTCCTCTTATCCTTCAGGACATCCGTTAAAATTGGAACGATACAGAGAAGATTAGCATGGCCCCTGTGCAAGGATGAGACACATACATTGAGAAATGGTCCAAAAAAACAAAAAAAAAACATCTTTCTCTTCAATTGCGATCACCAGCAGGTAAGTCTGAGGTACGCTTCTCTCTCTCTCTCTCTCTCTCTCTCTCTCTCTCTCTCTCTCTCTCTCTCTCTCTCTCTCTTTCTCTCTCTCTGAGCTATGGCTCACTCTCTCTCTCTCTCTCTCTCTCTCTCTCTCTCTCTCTCTCTCTCTCTCTCTCTCTCTCTCTCTCTCTCTCTCTCTCTCTCTCTCTCT